TTTTATGGCTGCGTAGTATTCCATCATGTATATGTACCACATTTTTTTAATCCAGTCCTCTTTTGATGGGCAGCATGGTTGTTTCCAGGTTCTTGCTATTGTGAACAACGCTGTGATAAACAAACGTGTGCAGGTATCTTTTTTATAGAGTGATTTGAGTTCTTCAGGGTATATTCCCAGTAGGGGGATTGCGGGATCATATGGAAGGTCGATTTTTAGAGCTTTTAGGAATCGCCACACTGCTTTCCACAGAGGTTGCACTAGTTTACACTCCCACCAACAGTGTAGAAGTGTTCCCTTTTCACCACACCCTCTCCAGCAGCTGTTATTTTTTGAGTTGTTGATAATTGCCATTCTGACTGGAGTTAGGTGGTATCTCAGTGTGGTTTTGATTTGCATCTCCCTGATGATTAGTGAGGTTGAGCATTTCTTCATGTGTTTGTCTTTTTTTTTTCTAAGTTTACTGTAGAGACGAGGGCTCGCCAAGTTGCCCAGGCTGGTCTCGAAGCCCTGGATTCCGGCAGTCCTCTTGTCTCCACCTCCCTGAATGCTGGGATAACAGGCGGGAGTCAACACACCCAGCTTGCTTGCTTGCTTTTCAACCTAGAACTAAGGCATGTCTTTTCCTTGTCATCTATCCTCCTCTTCCTAGCATTACTTAAAAAGGGCCTTTTGACTGTTTTGATTTTGGACATTTGTCTTCTTTTGATCCATGTCACCACTGAATTGTCTTATTCCACCTTGCATTTTTTTATATGCCAGGCAACGTGACCGGAGGGACGTCTCTATGTCTCTTTCTCTTTGTCATCACTATCACTTGCAGTTGTGTGCCTAGAAAGCTCTGACAAACACAACCCAACTGTCTTAAATTGTCCTTTCAGAATTACTGGAATCATGCTCCTCATATCTTGAAATTGTTTTTGAATCCGTCTTCCTAAAGTCCAGGATATACTTAGGGCTCTGGCAGAGTGCCTTCTCCTGAGGTGACTGATGTTTTCTCCCAATTTTTCCTTCTGTATGGGAATTGAATTCACAGTAGTAGTTTCTGAAATTCACCGGAGAAGCCAAAACATCAGAAATGGAGTCACTTGCTGCAGGCAGCAGGCAAAACCATCGTGTCTAGGTGTGCTCATGCCTGTATCACTGATCTTGTAGCCTGGAGCAAGTGGCTGCGTTGATCTGGGCGTCATCCCTAGAACACCTTTCAATGACAGCAGGCACTCCAGCTCCACGCAGCGCTGAGATCCCATGCCTGTTTTGTCACTGGGTGCCCGAGGTTTCTGCTGTGTCTGAAGAGTCACAAGGATGGTGCATGGAGGATTCAGGACCGTGGCTGCTGGAGCTGTTTGGAGCCGTCACTCAATGGCCAAGGCACACGCAACACTTGCTTGCCCAAGCCCTGGACCTCTTCCAGCACCATGCTTGCTGAGCCTGCTGCCACCGCCGGTGCTGGTGGTGAAAGAAACTGTCCATGGTAATAGCAACACGTGTCAGAGACTCCCCAGATGCTGATATAGTTTGCACAACACCCTAAGCTGTGTCAGCCATGCGGAGGTCTGGACGGGCGCTTGGCCACTCAACCCTCCAGCAGCTCTCTGGAGTGGCAACAATTACTGTCTTCATCTTACAGTGGATGATGGGCACAGAGCCGCTAAGGACCTAGTCCACAGTGGTACAAATGGTGGTAGAAAAACTAGGAGTCAAACGCGGGCAGTCTGGCTTTGAATCAGAGCTGTCCTCACTGCGTCCATCACATGTGCCCTTCAGGGAACCTGGGCCATCTGCCTCCAACACCCTATTCCCCAGTGGCATTTCTGTCTCAAGCCCAGCCCGTTAGGTGCCAGGCCCTGATGGATGCTTTGTGCTCTGCCTTTCTGTGACAGGGCTTAACTGTAGCGTGTGCTTGTTTTTGTGGCCAGTATAACCTCATTGTTTACTCATTTCAGGTGACACTAAGTTGAAGACTGTACAGGGTGTCGTGACAAGGTATTGCAGTGATTATGGCATGATTGATGATTTAATCTACTTCTCCAACGATGCTGTGACTGGCAAAGTGCTTCTGAATGTTGGACAGGAAGTTACTGCAGTTGTGGAAGAAAATAAAGTATCGAATGGACTGAAAGCAATCAGAGTAAGTAAAGTCTGAGTTCATGGGGGACATCCTCTCTTCGCCTTGGGGCTTCATGTTCCTTTCCTCGGGTTTAGTTCAACTCCCATGACCCAGTGAAGGGAAAGAAAGTGGAATGGTCCTTCAAGGAGGTGCTTTTATTCTTCATAATTTCTGTTCCAAAGGTTAAGCAGAGGTCCTTGTGAATCATTCCAACGAGATACAAATTGATAATTCAGAAAGTAAAGTTTGCCTATAAAATTATGCCATGGAAAACACAGTAAACAGGTTTATACCTATCTGTCTCAGTGTTCTAAAAAAGTATTGTTAAAACAATAATTATTTTTCATGTAAAAATAGTATTTTATGATATAAATTCATGAAAGTAGAGTTGCTAGGTTAAAGTGTATGTGTGTTTAACAACTTAATGGTTATCATCAAGTTAACATTAATATTATCATACTTATAATGAGAATGACTGTTCCCCAGTGATGACAAGGATGTGGATGGTATCTATCTTTGAAATCTTTGATAATCTAGTAAGTGAAAATGATCTCATAATTTTAATTTGCACTTAAGCCTTACAGTACCTTAACTTTTCACATTTTTATATGAATTATTTTCATGTTCTCTGTCCATTTTTGTTGAGGTCAACTTATTCTCTTATTAAAGGGCTTATATATTAGGGAAACTACAGGGTATTTTAATTGTTTCTTCTTAGAGATGAGGTCTTGCTCTGTCACCCAGGCTAGAGTGTAGTGACATGATCATAGCTCACTGTGGCCGCAAACTCCTGCACTCAAGTGATCCTGTCACTTCAGCCTCCTGAGCAGCTGAGACTACGAGTGTGAACCACCATGCCTGCCAAAATTAAATCTTTTTAAGGAAAATTATTATATGAAAATGTTACAGGAATTTTCCCCAAGACCATTCTTTGACTATTTTGTAGAATTAGGGTTTATGTAGTTAAGTGTGCCTATCTTTTCTGTGTGGGTTTGGACTCTGTAAGATTTTGTAGAGGGGCTTATTTCTCTTCTTTTTTTTCCCCCTGAGTTGCAGTCTCACTCTCTCCCCGCTGGAGGGCAGTGGCACATTCACAGCTCACCACAGCCTTAACCTCCTGAGCTCAGGCGAGTCTCCTGCCTTGGCTTCCCAAGCAGCTGGGACTATAGGCATGTGCCACCATGTCTGGCTGATTTTTTTTTTTTTTTTGGTAGATACATGATCTTGCCATGTTGCCTAGCTTGGTTCACTTTTTTTTTTTTTTTTGAGTTGGAGTCTCACTCTGTCGCCCAGACTAGAGTGCAGTGGCCGCTCCCGGCCACCTCAGCCTCGACCTGCTGGGCTCCGACGATCCTTCTGCCTCAGCCTTGCGAGTAGCCGGAATTACAGGCGCGCGCTACCATGCCCGGCTGATTTTTTGATTTATTGTAGAGATGAGGTCTTGCTGCCCAGGCGGGTCTCGAACCCGCAGGCTCAGGCAATCCACTCACCTCAGCCTCCCAAAGGCGCCGGATTACAGGCTGAGCCACTGAGCCTGGCTTTTTTTTTTTTTTAGTTGGAATCTCACTCTGTCAACCAGGATGGAGTGCAGTGGCATGATTATATCTCATTGCAGCCTTAACCTCCTGGGCTCAGGCAGTCCTCCTGCCTCAGCCTCCCAGGCAGCTGGGACAACAGGCATGTGCCACCTTCCCAGCTAATTTTTTTATTTATTGTAGAGACAGGGTCTCACCAAATTACACAGGCTGGTCTCAAACCCCTGTGCTCAGGCAGTCCTCTTGCCTCTGCCTCCTAAAGGGCTGGGATTACAGGTGTGAGCCACCACACCCGGCCTGGTTCACTTCTTATTAATATTCACTGAGATTTTCATCAGAAAAGTATTTGTTTATTGACATTTAATCTACCTGGATGTGTGTGTGTGTGCGCGCGAGCACGCGTGTGCGCACACAGACTGAAAGAAAGAAACAGACATTTCTTTCCTGTGGCTAGCCAGTCAGCCCACTGAGTCACTCACTCTCCCCTACTGATCTGGAATGAAGCCTGTGTGCGTGTGACTATTGGTCCTAATGCTTGTACCGGGGCCCCATGGTCACTGTGATAGGTGGTAAGCAGGCTTCCCTTCATTATTTGTATTTGCAGATGGAATTTTTCTGGCTCTTCACATGTTCTCGAGGAGTCTTAGAATCTTTCTATTTTTTCTCTTCTGCTCAGATTTATTTTAGATGGCACCGAGTTTATCAATATCATATTGATACTTGGATCATATAGAGTCTTCTCTAACCACAAATTATGTCTGTCCATTTACAAGGGGAGACCCCAAAAAACAATTTATTAATAAAAGATTATATATTCTTACACATTTAAACTTTAGTCAGCTTCAAAGTACTCTGTTTAACACAGTACACCTATTGAGATGCTTTTCCACTGCTCAACAGTTTTTGAACTCGTCAATTTTGATTCCTTTTAGTGTTTCTGCTATTTTTTTGTTTGTTTGTTTCACCTCCTTCACATTGACAAAACATTTCCCTTTGAGGACTTTTTTCATCTGGGGAAACAAAATCCCTCAAGGTAGGATCAGGAGACTAGGGAGGGCAGAGAACAGGGGTCGTGCTGATTTGGGTCAAAAACTACTGAACACTCAGCGCGGTGTGGGCAGCTGTGCATGTGAATCATCCATCATGAAATGGGGAATTGATTGAAAGAATCGGCAAAAAAAAAAAAATATTCACTTACACCAAACACAACCTTTCACAATAACACTGGCTGGTACACTGAGCCAGTGGGTTCCTAGAATACTTACCTAGCAGGGAAAGCCTGTACTACAAGGGGCCCACCCTCCAAAAGACAATCCCAGCTTTTTTGGGGTCCCTCCCTCGTATTGGAGCCTTTCTTTATATTCTTTTTACTCTGCAATAATTTTCTTCATTTAGTCTCTATACATTCCCTAAGTTGATGTTTAAAAATGTTTGTGTTTCTTCCATTGTCAACATAATTTTACATTGTACTTTCAATTTTTTTTCTTCCTATATAGATAGGAAAGCTATTGAATTTTTTAGTGTAATTTGGAATCCAACAAACTTATTGTGCTCTTATTTACTTTATAAAAATGCTTGAGTAGCCGGGCTCGGTGGCTCAGCCTGTAATTCCGCGCCTTTGGGAGACTGAGGTGAGCAGATTGCCTGAGCCCGCGGGTTCAAGACCCGCCTGGGCAGCGAGACCTCATCTCTATAATAAATCAAAAAATCAGTAGCGCATACCTGTAGTTTCGGCTACTTGGAAGGCTGAGGCGGAAGGATCGCCGGAGCCCAGCAGGTCGAGGCTGCGGTGGCCGGGAGCGGCCACTGCACTCCAGTCTGGGCGACAGAGTGAGACTCCAACTCAAAAAAAAAAAAGTGCTTGAGCCAGGCCTGGTGGTGTATGTCTGCAATCCTAGCAACTTGGGAGGCTGAGGTGGAAGGATTGCTTGAGCCCAGGAGTTTGAAGCTGCTGTGAGCTGTGATCATGCCACTACACTCCATCCTGGGTGACAAAGTGAGACCCTGACTCAAAAAAACAATTACTTGAGATGCACCTTGTTAATATTATAGTTAATACTTAATATCATCTTTCTCAATTTAAAAAAATAGTGTATACGTGTAAAAATAAAATAATTTAAACCCTAGAATTGCATTGTTCAGTGTGGTAGCCTCCAGCCACATGCAGCTATTTAAATTTATTAAAACTAAATACAATTTACAGCCAGGCATGGTGGTGCAAATCTATAGTCCCAGCCACTTTGGAGGCTAAGGCAAGAGCACGAATCTCCTTGAGCCCAGGAGTTCAAAATCAGCCTGGGCAGCATGAAGATACCCCATCTCTAAAATTTTTAAAAACTGAATGCAATTTAAAATTAGTTCTTCAATTCCATTGGCCACATTTCAAGTGCTAAATGGTAAATGTAGCTAGCGCATACCAAATTGGGCGGCACAAAGTCCTTGGATAGCTCTGGTCTAGATGCTGCAAAATGAAAGGCATGTGCCTGTAGTCCCAGCTACTCAGGAGGCTGAAAAAGAAGGATCACTTGAGCCCAGGAATTCAAGGTCACAGTGAGATATGATCATGCCACTGTACTCCAGCCTGGTGACAGCGAGGCTCTGGCTCTAACAAATAAGAAAGAAAGAAAACTTAAAATGGAAACATTGCTTATGAGACTCATCCTGATCCTGGAGATGCTAAAATGTGGGAAAAGGAGCATCTGGGTATCTGGTCCTATTGGTTGTTGGCTATCATTTGCTTGTTCCCATTTTTGTCATGGTGTAGAGTGTTCATTTCTACTCACAATTGTTGTGGTGGCTCACGCCTGTAATTCCAGCACTTTGGGAGGCAAAGGCAAGAAGATTGCCTGAGCCCAGGAGTTCGAGACCAGCCTGGGCAACTTGGCAAGACCTCATTTCTACAATAAATCAAAATTATTAACCAGGCATGGTAGCGCACACCATAGTTCCAGCTACTGAGGTGGAAGGATCGCCCAAGCCCAGCAGGTTGAGGCTGCAGTGGCCGTGAGCGTGCCACTGCACTCCAGCCCGGGCGACAGAGTGAGACTCCAACTCAAAAATATATATATGTATGTAAACCAGTAATCAAGTTTTCAAGTACTTTTAGCATCTTGCAAATGGGCCTGTTGTTTTTGCTCAGTATTGATGTGGTGAAAAATGTGAGAATGATCCCATATCATTTTTATCATGTACCAGTCAGTGGCACTAAGTACGTTCATGTTGTTTGTGCAGCTGTCACTACAATCCACCTTCAGAGTTTTTTCCGCATCCCAGTAGAAACTCTCTGCCTGTTACACAGTCATTCAGTGTTTTACTTTCTGTCTCTAGGAATTGCCCCCTTCTAAGTACTTCATATGTGGAATCATACAGTATCCATCCTTTTTGTGTCTGGCCTTTTTGACTTAGCTTCATGTTTCCAAGGTTCATAAATGTAGTATGCATTAAAAGTTTGTTCCTCTTGACTTCTGAATAACATTCCATCCTGTGGACTCATCACAGTTGGTGTCTCCATCTGTTGATTGACACTGGGTTGTCATTTGCATTTTGGCTGTTGTAAATAATGCTGTTAAGAACAAGTGTCTGTTTGAGTCCTTGTTTTCAGTTCTTCTTGGGATATACCTAGGAATGGGATCGCTGGGTCATATAGTCATTCTGTGCTTAGCTTTTTAGGAACTAACATTTTTCCACAGCAGTGGCACCGTTTTATGTTCCCACCAGCACTGCACGAAGTTTCCACTTTCTCTACATCCTTGTCAGCACTTGCGGTTTTCTTTCTTATTTTTGACAGTAACCGTTCCTAGTGGATGTGAAGTAGTTTTATTTGCATTTCCCTAATGATTAGTGACTTGGACTTTTTTTCATGTGGTTATTGGCCATCTGTATATCTTTTTTGGAGAAATGTTTATTGAGATCCTTTTGCTTGTTTTTAAATTGAGTTATTTATTTGTTGAATTGTAGGAATTCTTTACTAAATCTATATAGTAATCTCTTATCAGATATATGATTTGCCAATATTTTCTCTCATTCTGTGGTTGTCTTTTCACACTATTATTATTGTTGTTGTTGTTATTATTATTATTAGTAGTAGTAGTAGTGAGACAGTATTGCCTAGGCTGGAGCATAGTACCACAGTCATGGCTCATCTTAGCCTCAGACTCCTGGACTCAAGTGATCCTCCTGCCTCAGCCTCCTGAGTAACTGGGACTACAGGCACATGATGACACCTGGCTAAGTTTTAATTTTTTTTTTTTTGGTAGCGATGGGGTCTCACCATGTTGCCCAGGCTGATCTTGAACTCCTGACCTCAAGCAATTCTCCCACCTTGGCCTCCCAAAATGCTGGGATTACAGGCATGAGCCGTCATGCCCAGTCTTCACTTTCTTGGTAGTATCCTTTAATGCACAAAAACTTTAAGTTTTAATGAAGTCAAACTTGTCTTTTTTTTTTTAATTGCCTGTACTTTTTATCCACACTTGAGAAAACATTGACTAATCCAAGATCATGAAGATTTCCCCCAGTGTTTTCTACTGAGACTTTTATAGGTTTAGCTCTTAAATTTGTCTTTGGTCCATTTTGAGTTAATTTTTGTATGTGTATATAACAAGCATCCAGAGTCATTCTTTTGCATGTGGATATCATTGCTTTTTGTGTGTGTATGTGTCAGGGTCTCACTGTCACCCAGGCTGAAGTGCAGTGGTGTGATCACGGCTTACTGCAGCCTCCAATACCTGGGTTCACGTGATCCTTTCACTTAACCTCCCAAGTAGCCAGGACTACAGGCATGTGGCACCGCGCCTGGCTAATTTCTGAATTTTTTTGTAACGGTGAGGTCTCACTATGTTACCCAGGCTGCAAAACTCAATCAACCACATGTGCAAGGGTTTATTTCTGAGCTCTCCATTTTATTTCTTGCTCTACATTTCCATCTTTAAACCAGTGCTACATTTGTTTGATGACTGTAGCTTTGTAGGACATTTGAAATCAGAAGGCCTGAGACCTCCAATTTTCATTCCTTTTCAAGACTGTTTTGGCTATCTGGGGTCCCTTGAGATTCCATATGAATTTTAGGATGGGTTTTTCTATTTATGCAAAAGCACACAGATAGGATTTTATAGGAATTACATTGAATTTGTAGATCACTTTGCATAGTACAGTCGTCTTAACATTATGAAGTCTTCCAACTCATGAACATAGATGTCTTTCCATTTATTTAGGTCTTTAATTTCATTTATCAATGTTTTGTAGTTTTTATTTTGCAAGTCTTCCATCTCCTTCATTAACTTAATTCCTAAGTATTCTATTTCTTTCTTTTTTTTTTTTGAGTTGGAGTCTCACTCAGTTGCCCAGACTGGAGTGCAGTGGCCGCTCCCAGCCACCGCAGCCTTGACCTGCTGGGCTCTGGCGATCCTTCCGCCTCAGCCTTGCGAGTAGCCGGAATGACAGGCACATGCTACCACGCCCGGCTGATTTTTTTATTTATTGTAGAGATGAGGTCTCGCTGCCCAGGTGGGTCTTGAACCCGCGGGCTCAGGCAATCCACTCACCTCAGCCTCCCAAAGGCACGGGATTACAGGCTGAGCCACCAAGCCCGGCTTCTGTTTCTTTCTTATGCTGTTGTAAATGGAATTGTTTTTCTTGGTTTCCTTTTTGGTTTCTTCATTGAAGGTGTATGGAAATAAAACTGATTTTTGTATGTTGACTTTGTATCCTCCTACTTTGGTGAATTAACTCATTTATTAGCTCTAACCATTTTTTGTGTGTGGAATCTTCTTTTTTTTTTTTTTTTGAGTTGGAGTCTCACTCTGTCACCCAGACTGGAGTGCAGTGGCCGGTCCCGGCCACCACAGCCTCGCCTGTTGGGCTCCGGCGATCCTTCCGCCTCAGCCTTCTGAGTAGCCGGGATTACAGGGGCGCGCTACGACACCCGGCTGATTTTTTGATTTATTGTAGAGATGAGGTCTTGCCTGCCCAGGCGGGTCTCGAACCCGCGGGCTCAGGCAGTCCACTCACCTCAGCCTCCCAAAGGCGCAGGATTACAGGCTGAGCCACCGAGCCCGGCAGTGTGTGGAATCTTTAGAATCTTCTAAGATGATGCCATCTGTGAGCAGAGAGAATTTTACTTGCTTCTTTGGCAATTTGGTTGTCTTGAGGTGAGAGTGGGCATCCTTGCCTTGTTCCTGATATTAGGGGGAAGGCTTTCAGCCTTTCACCACCAAGTGTGGTGTTTGTTGTGGATTTTTTCATTTATGGCCGTGTCGCATTGAGGAAGTTTTCTATTCCTAGTTTTATTGAGTATATTGTGAAAAGATGTTGGATTTTGCCAAATGCTTGTTTTTGCCTCCGTTGAGATAATCGTGTAATATTTTTCCTTTATCCTACCATTTTCACATGGGATTGCTGTAGACTTGATGTTGGGTCCCCTCACAGTTCATATGTTGAAACCCTAACCCCCAGTGTGATGTGATTAAGTGGATTTGGCAGGTGATCGGATCACGAAGGTGAAGCCCTTGTGAAGCCCACCCCAGAGAACTCCTTTGCTTTCATCACTTGAGGGCACAGTGAGCAGACGCCATCCGTGGACAGGAAGGAGAACTGCTGGTGCCCCACTGTCTAACGTCCAACCCTGATGGAGGAAAGCAAGCATCCTGGCCTGTCATTGATTTTTCTTACAGTCCTCAAATTGTGATCTAAAAAGTGGTTTGTCTGTCTTAGGTGGAAGCTATCTCTGATAAATGGGAAGATGACAGCAAAAACCATGGCAGAGGGCTGTTGGACTCCAGTCCCCGCATGTTGATTGGCTGTGTGACTTCCCTGATGGAGGGCGCTGGCTACATCAGTCAGACCACATACTTCTCTCTGAAGAGTGTGTGTGAAGGTATGCTAGCGGGGTCTCTGTTTCATTCTTGATATTAGGCTTTGTGTCTTTTACTACTGTTTTTTGTGCATAGAGGCAGACTCTCACTGTCACCCAGGCTGGAGTGCAGTGGCACCATCATGGCTCACTGCAACCTCGACCTCCTGGGCCTCAGTCCTCCTGCCTCAGCCTCCTGAGTAGCTGGGACTGCAGGCATGTGCCACCTTGTCTGGCTAGATTCTTAATTTCTATTTTGTAGAAACGAGGCCTCGGTGTGTTGCCCAGGCTGGTCTCAAACTCCTGGCCTCAAGCAATCCTCCCACCTTAGCCTCAGAAAGCACTGGGATTACAGGCGTGAGCCACCATGCCTGGCCGAGGGTTTGTGTCTTTTAAATAATTTGTATGGATTGCATTTGAGATGACTACACTCATGCATCATTGAAAGGGTCAGATCTGGGCAAGCTGTAGTTGTTGAGAGGGTTTGGGACTAGTATACCTTCTCTAGGTGCTGGCTTCACATAGAGGCTCTCAGATGTTGGGTAGATTTTGGGCCTGGGGTGGGGGGAATCACTGTTTAAACTTGTGCTTTCATGTTTTTATGTGCATTAATTGAATGCAGGTACTAATTTCTGGTTAGTTGTTCCTTCCATACAATTATTGAGTTACTAATGTAAGTCAATGGTACTACAGGTACACAGAGGTATTGTTGTTTCTAAAGTATTTCAGATGTTTAAAATAGGGCTTGGGTATAACCTTACACCTAAGAGTACATACTCATTTTTAATTGCATTTGTTTTTACCTGACCCAAGGTTTTATTTTTATGCCTAAATAAAGTATTTCTCAGTGCCCTTGATGAGTTTAATTCGGCAGCTATGTACTGGGCACCTGCTGCCCCTGGTGGTGCAGTTTGAGACCAGCGTAGGCAATATAGTGAGAACTCATCTCTACCAAAAACCCCAAAATTAGCTGGGCGTGGTGGCACCTGTATTCCCAGCTATTGAGGCTGAGGTGGAAGCACCTGAGCCCAGAGGTCGAGGCCGCAGTGAGCCGTGATCCTGCCACTCTCCCACCTGGGCGATGGAGGGAACCCCCCGACTCAGAAAGATAGCGTAAGAAAGACTTCCTGAAGGAGCCTTCACACAAGTTGGAATATTCTCAACTGCAGTCTTAGAGTTTCAGCATTACTTTATATATACCGTTGGAGCTCCTAGGATCTGATTGTTCACTTCCCCCATTGCTTTTCCGCCTTCTTGTTTACGAGTCTTGTTTTCAGTGACTGCAGTTTGCAAGAGGCATCAAAAGCTGAAGATGTTTGGCTCTATCTTATGAAATACTTAAGTGAAAGATTTTCAGTTGATTTTGGACAAAGTGTAAACAGAAATTAGAGGTTTCACTTAAAAAATATAAAAGGATCCCATCCTAGTACTCAAGTAGATTTACTGAATTGTTCCTCAGGTCCAAGTGTCTGTACAAGCCAGGTGGTAAAGGCACAAAGGGAATTCAGGGCTGCCGGGCCTGAGGGTGTGCGTGTCGTGGCCATGAGCTTTGTCACAGAGGTTCTGTAGTTCAGGTGCCCATGTGTGCTGGCAGAGTGCCACTGCCACCACTGGCTCTCCTGCTGGCTGGACATGTCAGCAGGCGGGAGCACAGGCTATGTGGGCCCCACCTCGCTCCTGTGCATTCTGCTCCAAGGCTGCTGCACATGGAGAAAGCGCATTTGTTGCGCAGTGCTGTGTTCCAGCCAAACCCTGCCATCACTGTAAAAACAAATGTTTTTGTCTCCGTGTTGGGTTTTTAAACCAGATTTACGGTAGCATTTATGATCATGCCCAATATTTCTTTTTTAGTAGAATGCTTTTCTGAAATCTTTGATTGCATGATTCTGATGGAAGCACACTTGTTTCAACTTGTTTAACTTTTTTTAGCTGTTTGTGGAACCAGCACATTAACAGCTATTGCATCACTTTCCGTGTATGTCCAAGAAATTTTGGAATAAAAAATTAGTGAAATTATGTTAAACAATTATGTAATAAATGAGGGCATGGTTTACAAAATACCACATAAATGCACCTCTGTAGCCGCACATGTTACATTGTGATTTTATGACACAGGATTCTCAAAACAGCACCTGACATTGAAGGTGAGGCCCTGCCAGCTTGTCCTTTCTGTGTTGAGATGGTCGGTGGCTTCACCCTGGCTCCTGTGTTTGATGTGGGTGTTGGATGTAGATGGCAGCAGATACTTGGGCTCAGTTTTGTGTTCACCATCTTACTAGAGAAACAGATGCAGGATTTAACTATGCCCTTTTGTTTCTTGAGCCTTTAAAAAAAAATTTTTTTTGAGTCAGAGTCTCACTCTTGCCCAGGCTGGAGTGCAGTGGCATGCTTCCGGCCACCACAGCCTCGACCTGCTGGGCTCAGGCGATCCTTCTGCTTCAGCCTTTCAAATAGCTGTAACTACAGATACATGCCACCACACCTGGCTAGTAGAGACGAGGTCTCACCAAGTTGCCCAGGCTGGTCTCAAACCCCTAGACTCAGGCAGTCCTCTCGCCTCAGCCTCCCAAGGTGCTGGGATGACAGGTAACTTACTGTGCTTGGCCTTTTTGAGCCTATTATTGCTAGTGTGTTTATTGCAAAATAACAAAAGGTCGTAACTGGTTGTGGCTTCCCATCCTGTACCACAGCAGGCCTATGCAGGCCAGCTCTCTGTTCTCTTGGTACAGCTTGGCCACTTCTCATCACTGAGCCTGCAGTTTCTCACCAGCCCCACCTGCGGGAGGCCCTGTGGCATTGTAGCAGGAAAAATAGAGAGATCGTGACCGAGACTATTATAGGAAGTGGCACTTTATTATGCTGGCTAGCACAGCTGCCCAAGAATTTAATGCGTCCAATTCGAGTGCCCCAGAATAGGAGACCTGGGGTCTTATACCCTTGTTTAGGTAAGGGAGGGGGGTTGTGTTGAGTGATTACATATTTCCTTTGGAATCTTACAAGGTTGTACTCAGTAAAATCAGATTTTTCAAAGAACAAATGGTTTCCAGGAACTGCAGGCTTGTAAACTGTCAACTTCAGAAGGGGGGTTTTTGGATAAGTCTGTGAATTAGCCACTCTTTTTGCATATCCATTAAATGGCTAGTCTTTGGGTCATTTGGCCTTTCCCAAACAAAACCTGCCTGGAGCCCGGGCAGGCCTTTAAAGTTGCAACTTGCCTTTCAAAAGTAAATACCTTTAACTGCTATCAACTCCTTTCCTGCCCTGGGCTAATGATTGCCATGAGGCCAACTGCTGATCCTGAACCAGCTACATGTTTCTGTGTTTATTCACTCAATTATACAAGAAATATATTTGACCATTTGCCGCATCCTGCCACATCATCTCATGTCCGGCAGCGTGGCATGGACCACAGCACAGCTCTCTAGCATGGCAAGGGACTGGCTGGGGCATTGAGTGTCCCACCCCTGAGCTGGGGTACCTGAGTGCATGGAGGTGATACAAACACTGTCCTGGGAAGGGAGCGAGCACTACCGCCTGCCTCAGGTATGCCATGGTAATCTACCTCTGCACAGACACCTGCCTCTTCGGATCTAGAGGTGTGAGTTCAAGTTCTCCAGTTCAGCTCATCCCACTGCAGTGGCTGACACTCCTTCGGGGGCTTTAAATGGAGAAATAGGTCTCTCTCGGTAGCAGAAATGGCTTTTGCAGCCATCCAGCTGCATCTCAGATGCAGTGGAAGTAATGGCAACACATTGCAACGGGCAGCTGGCCGTGCTTACTGACATTGCTGTGGCTTTCCCCTGGCCCTTTCAGGCTTCAGGCCCTGCAAGGGGGACTGGGTGGAGGCCGAGTACTGGATCCAGCCCGGCACGTGGAAAAGCGAGGCCACCTCAGTGAAGCCACTGAGGTACAAGCGTGTAGACAAGGTAGCGTGCTCATGAGGGGCTCTCTCTGTTTCCACCAGACCTGCCACTGAGACAGGTCTCAGCCCTGGATTCACCTGGGTGGGTTGGGAACCTGGAAAAATGAAGCTGAGTCTTAGCCAGAAAGGAGCCTGTTCTCGAGAAGGCTCTAGACTGAGTCAGGGTGCTCACGTAATTAAGTTCTAAGGCATGAGGTGGGTGTGGATGTGTTGAAAAGTTCTAAGTCAGGGGTCCTCAAACTTTTAAAACAGAGGCCAGTTCACTGTCCCTCAGACCGTTGGAGGGGTGGACTATAGTTTAAATTAAAAAAAACTGTGAACAAATTCCTATGCACACTGCACATATCTTATTTTGAAGTGAAAAAACAAAACGGGAACAAATACAATATTTAAAATGAAGAACAAGTAAAGTTAATCAACAAACTTACCAGTATTTTAATGGGAACTATGGGCCTGCTTTTGGCTAATAAGATGGTCAATATCCGGTTCCATATTTGTCACTGCTAGTTGTAACAAGTGATGCAAGTGTGCATCAGTTAGTCTAGATCTGGTTGGAGATTTCAGATGTTTCACTCTGGAAAAAGTCTGTTCACAGATATAAGTGCTGCCAAAGATGGTTGCCATTTTGAGTGCATGGTTCCTGAGATTACTGAGAGGAGGAGTCGAGAGACAGAGAGAAGGAGGGGAGTTGGAGAGTGCGACGCACATTCCACACATGTGCACTGCGGGCCGGTGGAGTTGGCTGCTAGGCAGGACAGGCAGCGGCCGGCAAAAACATCCGGTGGGCCAGATAAATGTCCTTGGCGGGCTGCATGTGGCCCGCAGGCCGTAGTTTGAGGACCCCTGTTCTAAGTATTAGAGACTCATTGGAGCGAGTGGGGCGGGCTGTGGGATTTGAACCTCCTGGTAAAAGCTAATGTGTGGGAGGTGGAGGCAGGGGAGGAGGAGGGTTTGTCCAAGGCTGGGAAAACATGAGCGTGGCTGCAACAGGCCCCAGTAGGCTGCCCCTTCCGTTATCTCAGTCTGGCACAAGGCCTCAGGGAACACAGGTGTCAGGCTGGGGCGCAGGCTTTTCTCAGGCCAGGGCTCCAGCCCCGGGGGCCCAGGCATGGGGTCTGGGTGGGCAGGTGTGCAGTGCATGCTGCCCGTGACATGGGGCTGCCCTGCTCTCAGGTCTCTGTCTCCAGCCTCTGCGGGAGGAATGGGGTCCTGGCTGACAGCATCTTCTTCACCTTGGACTCTCTGAAAGTGCCGGCCGGGTACACACCCCAGAGAGACGACGTCGTCAGCGCAGTAGTGGTGGAGAGCAACCAGGCGTGCTACATCTGGAGAGCCCTGTGTATGACCCCTGTGGAAAGGCGGTAATACGAAAGCACTCTGCTTCCTGGGGAGGTGAAAGGCCCAAGGCCAGTATGTTTAAGGAGAGCTCTTTTAATAAGCCAGAACAAGAGGCATCCAGGTCCAGAGTTGGCTGATTGGGGTGGGGGGGATGGTGCCTTCTGGGGGCTTTCAGCCGCCTTTGCGATCGGTTGAAGGTAGAGGTCGGGGCCCCTCTTCATCCTTAATCTTACATTGATGGTTGTCATTTTTGGTAGATTTTAATATCTTGTTCTTTCACATGTTGGCATCTTGAAATGTCTCACATTGGATATAGGGGGTAGTGGGGATTGTCCCCACAGGTTCTGCCTGTAGGTGCCTTGCCTGTGTCTGGACACTTGTTTGGCCATTCAGAGCTCCGTCCCCTTCCCCATGGGACCTGCTTACCATTGGGAGAACACCTTTGGGCCCCCTTGTGGGCAGAGGAGTGAAACTCCTGCCCTTCTAAGATACCCGCCCTCCTCCCCTCAGCAGAGGCCCTGACGCACAGGAGTTCTGCTGTCAGCCGACCTGCTGTCTGCTGTTCCTGGAGTGCTGGGAAATAAGACAGGACAGGGATGCTGTGGCCACACCTCTTCCCTGTGTCTGGATCGGGTCCCCAGGCTTCCTGTCTGTTCTATGACCTCATCTCCAGGCAGAGGCCATGGAGTCCCCTTTTTGCCTGGGATCTGGTGGCCAGGCCTTCCTGAGGAGTTTCCAGGTGTTAGAAACACTCACATCATAAACAGGCATCCCTTACTGAAGAAGCCTGTTCCCTGTGGCACTGCTGTTCTTTTCGTTCCCATCAGGTCTGCTGACTGGGAGTGGAGGCTGCGGTGCGGGGAGGATGGGGCAGCTACTGTTCTCCACACAGTTCCTGCAGGCAACTCCCTGTGCACAGACCGGCAGCCCAGAGCAGCCATGCAGCCAGCGTCCACTCCCCCTGCCCCCGGGGTCTCCCTCCCATGAACTAAGCAAACCCCTCTGTTTTGGGTCCTGCTGTCATCTCCCCTGGCCTGGCAAATGCTTTGGACTGTGGCACCCACACACCTGGGCACCTGTGGAGGGTATGGGGTGCAAGGTTGGCGGGGGCACGTTCTGAGGCAGTTTTCTCAGTGGAGCTGCAGGCCACTGAGGAGGTCTCTGGAGGAGCCCTAGCTGCTATCTGGAGGTGTCAGGAGAAGAGGGGAAGTAACTGGGCCCATTCTGAGGGAGGCCTCATTTTCTAAAGAGGAAAACTTCTTGTTTGATTGTATTCAAGCACTCCAAAGCAACAGAACTCTTTCCAAGTGCAAGTTTTGTGGAACCTGATGTGTGAAGCCATGGCTGGCTGGCTGGCTGACTGGCTGGCTGGCTCCCTGGCTCCCTGGCTCCCTCCCTCCCTCCCAGGCAGCCCAGGGCTGGGGAGAGAGGCTCAGGGGAGCAGCCAGGGCAGTTCTCAGAGTCACGACTTCCACACGCCCCTGTGCTGCCCACTTTCCTTTGACTTGTGGGATTGTCGCCGATGTCTTCATTCTGAGGATGTGCCTCCCTCCTAGAAGCTCTGGATCTGGTGGAGGCTCTGCCCATGGGGGCGGCTCCCTGTCCTCTGGGGCCAGGGTAGGCTGGAAGGGCAGTGGCGCTGAAGGGACACCTTTCTTTGGCACTTTTTTCAGAGGCTCTGCTCCCGTTGTTGAGACTGAGGAAGAGTCCTATGGAGCCTTTTTATTGAAAAACAAAGGTGATGTTGAAGTTACAAAGATGACACATTTTGGGACACTGAAGGAAGGAGGAAGTAAAATGGTGGTGATCTGGATAGAGTAAGTTTAAATAAAGTTGCACTCATGGCTTTTAAGCTGTGATCTAAGAATTACTGTGGAGCCAACTTTTCTTTGCCCGTTTATTTTTCCCAGGAGGGCTGGAGGGGGAAGCCCTAGAATCTTTTCAAGCATTTTTATCCCAAGATGTCCTTTTTACTTACATTCGTAAAAGTGTTTGCAATAGCCATTTTCTAGGCTGAATTCTGTGTTTTACTGAATACTGTGACTGAATACTTTGGCTTCAGAGATCTTGTCTGTGTTCATGGCTAATTTTCTTTTTCTAGGAATAAAGGAAACATTCCTCAAAACTTGGTCAGCTGTAAACTGGCTGGCTGGGATAAATCTAAACAATTCAGATTCCAGACGCTAGATAAAGGCCAGAAGGAGAAGAACTTATCAGATGAAAATATTAACTCTTTAAATAGCTACAGAAAATGCAAAACCCATCAGACATCAGAGAGCAGTTTGGGGAACACCAAAGGAGCCTCTCCAGGTAGTAGAACATTTCAGTGTCACCGTGAGAGGTCACAAGCTAGGGCCTGTGACACTGGGCGGGGCAGCAGGTGCGTAACACCCAGCCCCCACAGCGCTTTGTGCTCTGAACTCTGGCCTGTGAACCCCTCTCCTCTCATGTACCAAGAAGTGCCTCAAATAGTGGCTGTTTCCTGAATGTTTGTCAGTCAGGGAGAGATGGCCAAGGGCTGTTTAGGGACTATGCAGCGTGTCCCTATGCAATAGGACAGTCTGTGGTTCTGTCCGTCTCCTACTTGTGACTGTTTTCTCTGTTTCTCTTCTTGTCGTCACTGTCTAGAGCTTTGCCCAGTGTTTTTGTGTGCATCTATTTTCGTGTGGTGTGTGTGTGTGTGTGTGTGTGTGTG